CCTATACACTAAGTAATTACTAATTAGCAAACACAATTGATTGATTTGAAAATAAGAATATATCGGCGGCGTGACTGTCTTACGAGCGCATTCTTTTTTATATGGGTCGAGACACGTGACATATATTCAGATGGACAGAAAAAAAAAAAAAAAAAAAACGGACCGACGAACGCAAAGATATGAAAGGCATGTGACAATATTCGTCGGTCTGAATATTGCCACGTGACAATACTCGTCGGTCTGAATATTGCCACGTGACAATACTCGTCGGTCTGAATTTTTTTTATACAGGTCGAGACACGTGGCAATATTCAGACCGACCACGTGAGGCCAAGCTCTCTGCTGCATGATGATGCCAGATATTCGTGCAATATTCAGCCCGACGAACGCAAAGAAAAGAAAGAAAGAGGTTCGTGCCAAAAAAAAAAAAAAAAAAAAAAAAAAAAAAAACAGCTGCCTCGAAGAAAAACGAAGTCGTTGCATTTGTCGTCCTTCGGGACATCCGTTAAACAGATTGGAACGATACACAGAAGGGTAATTAGCAAAAATGGCCCCTGCGCTTTCAAGGATAACTCACATAGAGTAAATCAAGAAATGGTCCAAGTCGTTGCATTGAAAGAGCTTTGCCGGTGACACAAAACTATAGGCCCACGTTCATCACTCGCTCACACTGACTCTCCTTCGTCACTTGTTTATAGCATTATCTCCATTCAGAGAGTTCTCTCCTCCTCCTCCTCCCCCTCCTCCTCCTCCTCCCCCTCCTCCTCGTCCTCGTCCTCCTCCTCCTCCTGTCTTCCATCACCTTTCTTTCATTTCGGCAACGACGAGATGAAGTTGTTGCATTCACAACTTAGGCCATACGCTCAATAGGAATTTCGGTGATGTATCCGATCGCGACTTCAATCAAATACAGTCGAAAAAATCCCAATGTCTTACAAAGAAGAGAAACAAAAATCATAATATGGGTACGGCCTTAGTTACATACATAGCATGGAGACCTTGTCGTAAAACAACTGCCCAAGCTCATCGCTTGCTTGTACTGTCCCTCTTCCTCTCTCCCATCAGGTTTTCTTCTCCATCCTCGTATATCTTTCTCCCCGAAGGAACAAGAACAA